TAAATGTTTGTTTTGGTTTATGACCGCTAAATAAGTATAGGTTTTCTGATGTATTTTCCATGAAAGACATATGTTACTCATTATAATAACATATAATATTACTATAATTGAACTCCTTTGGGTTCAAGGATAGAGAACATGGGTCCCAATAAAACCAATGTCATTTACATCAATATGAATATAATATTATATCAATATAATAGGTTATAGGGTTATGGTTAGGGTTAGGGTTAGGGTTAGGGTTAGGGTTAGGGTTAGGGTTAGGGTTAGGGTTAGGGTTAGGGTTAGAATTAGGGTTAGGGTGAGGGTTAGGCACATTGGTTTTATTGGGACCCATGTTCTCTATCCTTGGGCCATTCTTTGTGCAAATGTGTTATTTTCATCTTAATCTTAAGTTATGAGAGGGTCTAGGCTTATACTTATAGTTATAGCTGCCGAATTTCTGTTTATGTTCGTGCCGTGGTCCGATTAGTTTACGTTTCAGCTGACCTCAGGGTTAAACACTAGGCTACTACTACGACTACTACCATACTAGTAATACTACTATTAGCGTCAACGAGTACGAGTACGTATAGCTCTAGTACGTACTGTCGTAGCCCTAGTACTATAGTACCGTCGTAGCTCTAGTAGTACATGTACTGTCGTAGCCCTTCGCTCCTTCCTCGATCCTGCGACGAAGCACTACGAGTGCGTGTACATACGTACGTATGTAATATTACGAGAGCCCAGACCCTCTCATAACTTAAGATTGAGATGAAAATAACACATTTGCAGAAAGAATTGCAATTATAGTGATATTATATGTTATATTAATGAGGAAAAGATATGTTTTTCATGGAAAATACATCAGAAAACGTACTTATCTAGCGGTCATAAACCCAAACAAACATTTACAAATGGGCGTTTGTTCTCTTGTCAAAGGCAAAGCAAATCGAAGCAGCCAATCAGAAGGCGCTAAATTCTTCGCTATGTTATACCGTTTGGGAAAAAAAATTTCGCGCCCGGGCCTACAGTGCTACATACTGGCTACGCCCCTGGTGTAGGAAAACAAAATTCGCCCCCGCGATCTCCCTGTATGAATAACCCATGTTCAGTGCTGCTCACTCGGGCGCGCGACACAGGCGGCAACTCAATTTACATTGTCGTGTGTGTTGTGTCTCCATGCAGTTTAATATTCGCACGTTCCTATACGTTTATCCAGACTAGCAATAATGTTAATAAGGGCGGATCTATGACAGCCAGGGACAAAGCATTTATCAGTAGAAAATAACGGGAACCATGCATTAATAAATTTCAATTTGCATGTGCAATGAGAATATTGCGCTATAGGTATAACGCGCAGTAATAATGCATACAAATAACGTATCCGTACGGTACATTTATTTTATGTACATGCAGCATATGATGAACTGTTTGTTGGCTTAGAACGTGGCAAATTTTAACATTATTCGCTGGTTCTACAGAGCAAATCGTGTAACTTAGGCGAAATAATGTTTTATCTTCATCAAAAGTTATACTGATGATAGAAAGTATGTAAGTTACAGGGAGGATGGGAGTGTGTAAGTTACAGGGAAAATGGGAGTGTCAGTGTGTAAGTTACAGGGAGGATAGGGAGTTTGTAAGTTATGCAGAGGAAAGGAACTATGTAAGTTACACCAATTATAGGGACTATGTAAGTTACACCAATTATAGGGACTATAGAAGTTACACCGGGGATAGGGAGTGTGTAAGTTACAGGGAGGATAGGGAGTGTGTAAGATACAGGGAGGATAGGGAGTGTGTAAGANGTATGACCAATGAATTTGATAGATACATTGCAGCAAGAACATAAATATTTGATTATAGCAGAGGCTATTATAATAGCCTATGCTACATGTATAATCAATATTTAATGGTTCACTTATTAGTGTATATATGCAACCATGTATGCTTCAATGCCCACTAAATTTATCTATTTTGTGATGTACCTGTATCTGTTCCTTGATCCTGTATCTGTTCACTTTGGAAACATGGGAAAGTTTACAAGGTACGCGTATGTTAATTAAAAATCTCAACACCTTGTGACATGGCATGGATTTAAAGGGGTGAACACACTAGGCGATTTTTCATGCGATCGAGCCGGCCGGCTCAATCGCATGAAAAATCGCGTAGTGTATCCAGTGAGTCGCGGTCGATTTTCGAGTCGCCCGGCCGAGTCGCCCGACTCAAACATGTTTGATAATTATTTGAGCCGGCCGGCTGCAATCGCCTAGTGTGCCCAGGTCTGCAATTGAGCCGGCCGATTGTACAATTCATCAGCCAATCAGCGTGCTGAAAATCCACAGTCGCCTGACTCAGTCGCGTAGTGTGTCCACAGTCGCCCGATTGAGCCGGCCGGCTCGATCGCATGAAAAATCGCGTAGTGTGTTCACAGCTTAAGCCATGATGAGACATTGTTGATATTCATCATTATTTAACAGAAGTTTACAATTATTGTAAACTTTGATTCGTTGTATTGTTCTAGTTGTGTATAGTTGTTTTATGACTGGTAGCCTAGCTGGTTATGTTCGATTGTACAATTGGTATACTTTGTCTTTCATTAGTTTATCAGTTAATAATATAGTGTGCTTATCTCATTTATATCTAAAAATAATACACATACTGATACTGTACAGGTAAAATGAAAAGATTTAGAAATTTATAATTCATGTAATAGAAATAATAATAAAAGTCCAATGTGAACTCTATAAAAACCATATAGTGTGTTTATATCTCTATGATAAAAACATGTTTTAATGCACGATTGTATAGCCTAGACTAATAGATATTGTTTGGATCTGAAAATGTGCTTACCGGTATGTTTGTTTTCAAGAATAAAAACTGCACTCTGATCTTAAAAATTTGGAATTTGACTGATTACTGGATTTTTTAGGGATGTAATTTTTTATTATGGTGGAGGATTCTGACAGGAATGCTTAATTGTAATTCTCAAAAAACTCCTATGCAGGAGACTCCAGCTGTCAACAGTTGTAATAACAGACTTAAAAAAATTCCAAAACTATATTAAAAGCACCACAAATACATTAATATATACGGCTTTCAATAAAGACCTCTACGCATAATAAAAGCCAAAACATGCCTAGAATGTAATGAGATTCCAACATCGATTGAGATTACCGAGTCAAAAAGTTATTCTGATTGTGGTAAAAAGGACGAATCTAAATGAAATAGCTTTCGTTGTAAATATTTTCAGAAATTATCAGCTTTCCTGAGCTGTATGGCGGGCTTGTTATGGAGCTAGCGAATGATGTCATCATGCAAATGGAATTTTCACTTGAAGAGTTAACATTATTTCGTACAGGCCCAGGGTATGGCAAATTTGTCTCGGAACAACTAACAACAGATGTCTATGCTCCCTCTATAGCTGACTTGCTGGTAAGCTGGCTTCCATCCATGTACTGAAAATTACCACATGATTATATATTATAAACATTTATATTTACCTTCAATTATACGTGAGACAGGCCATTGAATTGCATACGAATTAGGTTTATCCTATGCCCAGCAATCATATTGCATAGAAATGCCATGCAAAGAGCAGGCAGTATTTCCAGTTGTGATCAATTACTTTATAGTGAGTAAATCGGGTGCACGCCTCATTTCCTGCAATAAGAACCATAATTATTTAATTAAAAAGCAACCAAAAATTACTCTATCTGGCCAATCGTTGTGAAATTCTTAAACATTCCGGCCCCAATTAGAAATAAATTCGAAAATAAGTTTCTTTATGGCATAATTCCCGGCCCAAACAGACCACACAACCTTTCGACATATCTACAACCCTTAATAGACGAGCTAGTACAAGACATACAGATTACGGACTCAAATGGACACCACCACCTCATTAAATGCAAGCTGCTCTTCACTGCAGCAGATATTATAAAGGGCATGCTCTCGCGCTGCAAACAACAGGAGCAGCGAGCTACAGCAACTGCATTAAGTGCAGTGTTGATGGGCATTACTTTCCTGCAGGTCTCAGAAAAGTTTTACATGCTCATAATAGGAGGTGAGTCATTAGGACAACCATGAAGCTATAGGGACGTGAACCTATCCTTGCAGCTCATGCGGGTAAGGAGAGAAAATGAGCAGCAGAAAAGGCAAACTGGGAAGTTGGAGAATGAGCTTCTGCCTTCTGCATAGTAGACTAGTGGGATTTCTGAAAAAGGGTGCTGTATAAGGTTCAATGAGCATTTTTGAGTAAAAGTTGAACATTAACCAGACTTTTTAACATAACTTGAGTATGCTGAATCCGATAAACCCGGTTCCTAAGCGCAATTTTCAGTTTTTGGCCATCTAATTTGCATAAACAAAATGGCCGCCAGATTATCATTTTTTGACCTTTAGAACCATTTTCTTTAATAAGTCTGTAACCAGGCAATCAAAATGAACAAATGAAATGTCTATACCTATGATTTCAAGGTCAAAGAATAGGATTAAGACATTTCTGAGGTAGTTAGTGGCACACAATATTCATAAATATGCAAATTAGTGGCCGCCATTACAGAAAAATGATTTTTCCCAATTATGGAACAAACATGACACTGAAGTGTCTTTACCCATGTTTTGAGGGTCAGATAAAGGAATAAGGACATCCCCCCTCCCTCCTGAAGCAGGGACCCAGATACGCTACTGAGATTACCTAAATGCTTTTTCCCAAGGAATTCATGGAGTCGGGTTACCCATATGATGCACTGTAATCAACAAAGCCCCAAGCGTTTATAATTCATAATATAATATAATAATCGTTCATAATTAAGAACATGATGACTGACCGCCACATCGTCAATAAGAACCTTGCCGATGACATCGAGGAATGGAGAAACCTTGGTAGAAACAGCGGTAGAATTAGGGGAATTGTCGGAGGAACAGGTATCACGTATTTTGGATATAAATAGGTTTTATTGTGTTTGGCATTGGGTGAGAGAGTGAGTGGGTGTGGTGCAATAGATGCTATAAGAAAGATGTGTAAAACGTTTGAGAAACATGGAAGCGAGAGTGCAGGGCTAATGAGTCCATTTGCTGCATATCTAGATAAGAAAGTACATCTAACCAAGTTCAAGGGTAATAGATTTAATGTAATATTTTACAACGCTGCAGCAGCGTATTATCACATGGACTCTTTCCGGTCATTTCTTGAGGTGTGGGGTAGTGGGAACCTGTTGCTAGAAGCAGTTAAAAAAGATCTAGAGTCCCCTGTATATGTAGCTGGAATAAGAGCACTTGGAATCGTAGATAAAACTAGAAAGGGCAGTTGTC